TGAAGTTATCAAACATCCTGCAAGCCCCCTCTTCAAAAGACCCTTCCCAGTAATCAAGATCTAAGAAGAAGATACAACAGACAAATGGACTTCCTCATCCTGAGAACTGTGATTGATTTTACCTGATCTGACAAGACAAACAGCATGTTTTATAATTATTGCTTCCATGCTTTGTATACCCTGTTCCTCAGAGTAAATTTTTTACTACCCCTCACCCTCCTTACTTCCTAAACCTCCCTCAATAAATACGCATGTTTTAAAAGCCACGGCGCGGCAGCCTGGAGCTGGCTCTGGCTGTGGCCGGCTGAGAACATTCCAAGGAGCAATGAGGTCTCAGTCTAATTTTTTTTGTTCCTGATCACCCCTGTCGCCTTCCTGTGTACGAGCCACCCTCCACTGCCGAGGCCGGACCCCGGCAAATTCCCAAACAAGAAATCCAAGTACCAAACATGAAACGTGTATTTGAGTAAGAGCTCATCTGGATGTAAACCATGTCCTGAGAGCCAAACACGAATGTTGTGGGTGTTCTTATGAACGTACTTTGGCTTCCACCATAAAATAATCTAAAACTTAACAAATTAAAATTCATTTTCTTCATCTCACTTCTCTGTCTAGACGCCACTCCATTGAATTTTCTCCCCTTTTAAGCAAAACTCCATGGGGGGAAAGCTCTATATTTAATTAACACCAATTTCTCTCTTCTCCCTCTCTCTGAAACCAATAAATCTTTGTCCCCAGCAGCCCACAAACGCTGTTCCTGTTAAGGTCACCAATGACTTTTATGTTGTTGAGTCCAGAGTGTTCACGGCGTTCCACGCCGTCAACCGCCCAGCCTCTTTGATATACTTTCTTAGTTCTCAGGGGTTCCTGCACTCTCTTGATTGATCCTGTTTGAGTTTCTTTGTTTCTTCCTCTTTTTCTCCCAACTTTGTAACACTAAAGTATCCCAGTCTCCAAGCTTAAATTCCTACTCTTTCACTTACTTGATTTTATCTAATGCAATGGTGTTCATATCTAATCTTATATACAACCATTTCCCAAGTGTACGTGTCCAGCTCAGACCTCAGTCTTGAATTCCAGACTCAAATACTCAGTTGACTATGCAGCATCTCTACTTGAATGTCCATAGGTGACACAAACCTAACATATGAAAAACTGAACTTCCTATTCCCCCAAACCAGCTCTACCTTCAGACTTCCTTATCTTGACTGATAGCATGGCTGCCCTTTCAGGTGCTCAAGTCAAAAGCATTAGCTTTTCTTGATTCTCTGTTTTGGATACTAAACCCATTGGGAAATGCTTTTGGCTCTATCTAGAAAATACAGGCTCTGACCCTACGTGATCTGGCTCCCTGTCGCCCCTCCAACTTTCTGTCCAGCTCTTCTCTTCCCTCTCTTTCTCAGTTCCTGGCAACTGGCCTCCTTTCTGTGCTCAAACATGCCAGCCTCACCTCAGGGCTTTTGCACCGGCTCTTTTCCTCTTTCCTCCCCCAGATATTTGTAGATCTCACACAGTCGCCTCTCTCGGATCTTCACTCCAATATTACTTGCTCAACAAGGACTTCCATTATTGCCCTATTTAAAACTGCAACCGTATCTCCCTTGTACTATTCTATGTTGCCCTTTTTTGAACTAGCAGTTATTTTCTTTGAACACATAAAATGTATGTATTCATTACCTCTGTGGCTTACTGCTTTTTATCTCCCACTAGAATGTAGCATGACAACAGGGCCTTCATCTGTTCTGTTCACTGAAGTAGTCTAAGCACCTTTAACAGTACCTGGAATATAAGTACTCACTAAATATTACTGACATGAATCAAGTGAAGACTACCAATCTTGCATGCTGCAAAACAAACTAATGTCACCTTATGTTCCTCATAAAATTCTTCCCCAAAGGTCCTCCAGAAATGTTCTTCTTGATTGGTGTCTATATTATTTTGACAAATATCTAGCTTTTTCATTTAAAAAAAAAAAAAGTCTAGCCTTTTCATCTTAGAGGTTGGTTGAATGGATTAAGTGAGATAACACGTAAAGAGGATGTAGGCCCAGTAAAATAGGATGAAAATTGGAGAAATAATGATGATTTTTGTGTGATCTTTCCTGCATTGTGTTCTTAGGAACTAATGAGAGTATCGCAGTGCTGGAAGTCAACAAATCCTGATTTAATTGAATTATTGAGAGGCATGATTGATTTGTGATAAAAAATGTGAATAGTGATTTAGGCAGCCACTGTGGCTTACTGTAAGTAAACAACAACTCTGTAATTGCAAAAGGCAAGGACAGGAAGAACTATAACTTGGGACAACACTTGACATTTGCCAAGAGGAAATGGGACTTTGCACAGCCAATAGCAAACATGTAGCTGCTCCCGAAGGAGCTGCACACTAAAAATATAAATGGGAAGAACATGACCATAACTACATTCCAGGCAGAGAGGCCATCTGGGGTTGCAGCCCTCCCTTTCGAGCATAACTTTGAGGAGGACACCCGGCTTACCCACCACCTGCCACTCCATTTCAAGTCAGAAATAGAGCCCAGGTCCAGCTGGCTTGGGACCTGACACAGGCCTGCAGGAGGTTCTTAGGGTTTTCCTAAAGGAGATGGCTGGGCTGGAATGGGTGTGCCTATGAAGAGGGGTCAGGGTAGAACATGATTTGAGAGGGTCTGTCACTGGTGGCCTTGGCAGTGGGATCAGGATTGCCTCTCAGTCTCTCGCAACTCATAGCCAAATGTCAGCATGAGGATGGAAGCAGGTCCTGCCAAGTGGCACTGCCTGGCATGTGCCTGTTCCAGGGTTGGCTCATATGTTACTTGAGGGACTCCTTTGAGAAGTGGTAGGAGACACATGGAATCCAGTACCAGCAAACTATCCAAATATCTACAGGACTCCCTATAAGGGTGCGTGTGTGTAACTGTGTGTGTGTAAGTAACTCCACTTTTCTGGTGGTGACCCTCCCATCTTAAAAAGAACAGAAATACTGGGATGTCGGAAGTCATGATGCATTTTTGCATAGAAAAACAGAAAAATATGTCATGACTATTCCAACAACTCACTAGTAGATCTGGGCAACTTGGTTTTGTCACTTTCAAGCCAAAGACCTTGGGAAAAATTACCTAATGGTTTTGGGGCCTTAGTTTCTTCATCTGTCAAATGGGGTAATAATAATAATATCCAGCCTATGGAGTTGTTGTGAGAACCAGGCAGGCAATAGAATATGTATGCCTGCCAGATGCCTCAGTACGTGAGAACTAGCAAACAAAGACAGTAACTGAAGTCTGAGAATTGGCAGAGAAGAGGGTCAGGAGCCCAGCAGCGAGGCTCCCACCTTGGAGCAAGGATATGAGTGCTCCAGGGAGTCCTTTGAGACACCAGCTGCCCAGGGGCAAGCCAATTTGGTAAGTCTTTACTGAACAACTACTGTATTCCAGGTACTGTCCTTTGGAGCCTGGGGATAGAGAGAGAGAGAGCCCAGAATTTTATTTTACTTCAGAGTTCACCGTGGGGAAGACAGAAAGGAACCCAGATCATTAGAAGAGAGAACAATGTGTAGCAGCCAGCATTAACTGAAGCATAAAGGGCACACAGGCAGGAGCAAGAAGCTGTGGGCACGGGAGCTAGTGATGTCAGTATAGCGGCATCGGGGAGGTCTCACGCAGAAGGGGAATTGCATTTTAATTAGAGGGGTCAGTAGAGGCCAAGACATGGAACTGCAAAACAGTGTGGTGTGTTCAGGGAAGTACTTCTAGTACAACATGGCTGGTGTGAGCAAAATGTATGAGGGAGGGAGGCCTGGAGATGTGGTTCTAGATCACTAAGCCATTAAGTTACCATCTAAGGCTTGTAGGTTTTTAATCTTGTGATCACTCGGGTCTCCTGGAAGGGTTTTAGGCATAGGAACAACATGACCTGCCCTACCCTACCCACCTGTGCCAGGAACCCAGGCACTGTTACTGCAAAGGAAAACTGCTCCCTGGTCTAGCCCTGGAGTGGTAAGGGTTCGAAGGACAGACGTGAGAGGGGCTGACGAAGGTGCAGATATGCTGGGTTACAGTGCGACAGAGCGAGGCAGTGCTGCCTCGGGGCTCCCTATTACCTGGAACACCCCCTCCTCAGAGGACGGCAGTGATTCCCACTCGGGAGAGTCCATGAACTGGTAAGGAAAGACATAGTGCAGAAACTGCCCATCCTGGCTCACACGAACCCTGCCAAAAGGAGAGAAGAGACCATGTGAGAAAAGGGAAGTTGCTGCCCAAACCCCCTTTGCTGAAGTTAGGTGTTGCCAATTGGCACGAATCTTCTGGTAGAAATATCTTGCCTGTGTCATGGTGCCAATACTGGCCCCTGAGAAGTAAAAATTAGTTTGGTGTCGAGTTGCAAATATAATATTGACCAGGTAAAAAAAGAAATATGTCCTAGAGTCCTCAGGACTTTACAAGAGGAGCGCATGCTTCTTTCTCTCCGGACTAATGGATACTTTCCACACACAAAGACTGTGGCCTCTAGTGACCACACTGTGATAACCTTCATTATTCGGCTTCTTCCAGACATGGTCTCAAATAGCATGTAATGCCTGAAGAGATCCAGGTGTCCTAAGGGTTCTTTGTCTTGAGTTCTTTATTTTTTTTTTAAACCTCTGCAATTATTAGTTTATTAGTATCACCCAGGACTCAGATGTTCAGTATTCCTCCTGAAATTACATAAACAAATGCAAATGGAAAGAATCCAAGTCAAAATTATATAACAAAATAGCACTCCGTCACAAAAGAGTGTAAAATTACAAGAACGCTATTTTAAAACACTGGCACTCTAAGAGAACGATAATCTCAAACCATAAAATTGCCAAATTGTTCCCTAAACTGTTAAGCAGATAAACATGGGTTTCGTAAAGAAAAATTAAATTTGAATCAATTGGCTAATTCGTACTGAGATGCGAAGTTTGTGTCTTCGTTCTTCATGTCTGTCTGATTTATAAAGGGGCAAACCACAATAGAGGAATGTTTCCCCTATTTTCAAATGTGGCATCGTTTTAAAAGCTGGCCCAATTAATTAAAAGTACTTTTACTGGAAAGTCAAGTTTCCTGAGCAGTCTATATTCAGATAAATGGGAAAAGACATTTACAGCCAGTGCTCTCATAGCCTTTGCTGGAACCAAGGTCAACAAAAAACTTGAATACGGTAGTCTTGTATTTTAAGCTCATGCTTTTGGGGATACATTATAGTCTTCTTTAACATGGGAACTGCAAAAATATAACTGCCATTACATGGTAATGGGAGTTAAAGAATATAGAGTTGCGGAGGGCATTGCATATGGAAGTCATCTTGAGAGCTGTCTGCCTCTTAGAAACCTTAGGCTTCACTTCCTTATTGAGCAAACCATGTCTCAGAAATTATGTTACCAACTGTTGCTAGGCAATGGGAGATCCACCCACAACAATGATTGGCTCATACTGTTGTATTTCATTTTCGAGCAACCAATTGGTGCCCACCAGCCTGTATATAAAGCACAGTTTGCTCTGCAATAAACGAAGACTTGATCAGCACCTCATCTTGTCTCCACTCTGTGTGT